CATTAAAAAAAAAAAAAAAAGCGGAGCCGAGCCGTAAGCCATTCGGCTTATGGCTTGTGAACATTAACCCTCACTCACTCTTTTATATTTTGTTAGATAATAAGATTTTTAATAAATTTCAATAAAAGTTGATAAAATATATATTTGAAAAGTCGTTGATACGTTGAAATGTATAATTAAAATTAATTATTAACTTTGATTTGAAATTAAAATCAGATTTTAATCTATACCAAACAGAAGCTTAAGGGAAATTTTCACTCAAATTTGTCTAATTGGTCCAAGAACTTGACGAGATTGATCACAGGTCTGAAAAGAAGGGAAAGCAGAAAGGGACTCTAATTCTGCCATCTATCTCTCACCATAGTACTTGGGTGTAAATTTTAGCAGGAAAATTATCCATGTAGACAAAGTCACACTCATCTAATGACGGGTTCTTAGAAATATTTTGGTTTTCCACTCACTCTTTTTTCTTCATATTTTGAAAGTCATAATATTCCTAAAGATTGCCTCACTAGTATATGCCAGATAAAAATAGATGCCAATGCAGAGAATGAAAAATAATACAAGTGGCAACTGTAAGAAGGAAGATAATAGAATTTTCCCAATCCAAGGAATAAAGTGTTCAGTTCTACAAATGGGATGGGAATGTATTCCTCCCATAGAAATGGCCTGCTTGGCCAAGCTACACGAATTCAGCAAAAAGAGTCTCCACTTGAGTGAAAAATGACAGAACACCAACAGAAACAAAAAAAAAATGTCTGGAAGGGGACATATACCTTAGTCAAAGATTAAGGTAGGGATCAAATTAAAGTGACAACCAAATCACCACTCTGAATTCCATGTAATTGTACTTTGGAATCTATTCACAGAACAATTTGGGAGCTCTGTACAAATTCCAGTTTGTGTTCAGGAAAGGCATGCCATCTTTTCATCATAAATACTGTTTGTTGTCTATAGAATTCAAAATTGTTGTGTGCACTGCCTCAAACTCCACTGCACTTTGAAATATTTCAAAAAGGAATGTCAAGCCTGCAGAAAAATCAAATCCTAGTCTTGAATCAAGCAAAATATAACATCAAATCTAATCATCAATCACTCAATATATTGAAACAAAAAAGTTCTCAGAAATGCTTCAAACAGCATTCGACTGCCATATAACACAATTATTTTTCCTATTTATGCTCTGCAAAAATCGGATAGTAAAAACACCAACATTATTTCCCAAATCAAATGTTCCACAGATCACTTCATACAACTTACCACGGAGTGGTATCACAAATGTCCAGTTGTCCAAATATCTTATTTAACAATTATGTAGAAATAAAATGGAAAATGCACTCAAGAAGGTAACAGCAGACTGAATGACGAGTGTCCACGGTGACTCTCATAAGTTTTTGACAACAATCCTCAGAAACCAGAATGGAACAGATACAAAGTTTGAGCAACAATTAAAGCTCACAAGCTAATGGGTCTGACATCACAAAAAATACAGCTCAGGAAAGTACAGATCGCCATAGAGGTAGGCCAACAACAATAATTCAGAAAAGCCATTTGCAAAATTTGGGATCCATATATAATCATGCCCATAAACAAAATAAATAAATAAATAAAAATCCAAGAAATATAAACTCATAGTGAACACAATAAAGACAATATGTAAAAGATAGCTAATATACCTAAAATCTTAAGAAGTCGTTTGTCCAATTCACATGTCAACCATTGGTACTTTCAACATGATTACCATCTACAAGCTCATTCACACAGAACTGATGCAGATTTTCATATATCGTCTTCCACTGCTGTATCATTTGCACAGATCTTTGCTGTTCAAC